AGTATACTCTTGGCAACATGGAGACCTACACACAAAAGCTCTGCAGCAATAACAATTCCTATATATATATTAACTTCTCAATTATAGTAATTAAGATGATTGAAAAGCTTTTCAGTCATTAAAAAGAACAGGTCATAAGGAAACCTTTAAAACAAACTTCCTTGACAAAGACAAATAATGAAAAGACTGGTAAAACTAAGATGATAAAGTGTTTTATGTCTTATGTCAAAATGTTGTCTTTTGCACATTAACAGAAATGGTTGAGCATCTTTGGGTGTCGCATCCATCTAGGGGGGAAAAAAGGTGGTGGGAAGGTGTGGTACACACTGGTGCCTTGACCTTTAACTGAAAATTCCACAGACCTAAGAGGTTAGGGCCAGGTCAATAACTGATAGAGGAATGTCAAAAAGAAGTCCAAGGTGCCATACTAAAAGATAACCTTGATAACACGGTAATCCATCTACCTGCAATGCATCATCTGCAGCTGAAAAGGGAGACTTTAGTTCCTGAACTTGTGAAAAACATGAGGTTTGTTCAATGCAGAAACAGGTAGTGTCAGTTGTTTGAAATACGTGCAAGTATACTGCAAACTTAACTATTCCCACCAGTCTCTAGCATAAAAAGAGTATCCTTTCCAGGGGAGTAGTCAGTCTTGCATAATTGAAGCTTATCTTACCTTTTTTGATACTGAAGACTTCACTTTCCTAAAAGCTTCTTCGAAGTGTTTATGGGAAATCTTGATTCCTCCTTAAAGAACAAAGTGTAATAAATTACTAAATTAAATTGCAGGCAAGTGATAAGCAAGTGATTTTTGCATGTATTTCAAGGGAGCATTCATGAAACCTAACTAACTGCGTGTGCTAGTCAGCTGGATGAGATGTAATTGAGTAGCATTAAACACCTGAACTCTTATCATAGTGTTAAGGCTACATAAAATATGTTAGGCAAGATCTTCATCCCTCTATCCCTTGCACCTTAAGCCAAAGAATACTTATTTGTTTCAGAAAGTTGTTTTAGATATTAATGTTTCCACCTGCAGATTGAGAATTTCATTCTCAAAGATGCCAAGTTAACTGCAGTTTACCTCAAATTCAGTTAGAATTCAAGTCCCTTAACCCTTCCAGTTCTGGGCTTTATTTTCTATACATATTTAATATTAAGCTTCTCTACAGAGTGTTACTAAGTACCTAGAAAACACTTTTGTTGTTATTCCCATTCTACTCCAGGATGCCTAATTCATAAATAATTGAATTCATACCATTGCCTTGTCTGGCATGAATGTGATGAAAGCTTTCACTTTTTCAACTCCCTGTCTTTGAATTTATGCAAATCCCCTTTTTGACCTTAATGCAGCTAGCCACAGTAATTATTCCTAATCATAGCCTTTTGAACAGGCTTTTTTTTTTAGTGTGTTAAAACATAAGCAACTTTTTTTTTTTTTAGTGTGTTAAAACATAAGCATACCTCAAATAAGTAATGGATTCCTCTGCTCTCACAAGCAAGTGCCTTGTTTAATCGAGACTTAAGAATCCCAAGATAGCATTGTAATTAACCTGTACAGTAGTGTTAACATTATGCACAAGTATCAGATATGATAGAGGTACACAAAATTATGTCTTTAGAGTCAATTTAGTGCATTTGTTATGTATTTCATTATGACACTTTTTGCTTCCACAGATACGTACTGCCACTACCTTTGCATAGATCTTTGTGATGTGAAATGGGATGTGCCGACATGAAAATAAGATTCCTCATTAATATATTTGATGTCTGAGTTTAACAAAAACATTCTGCTGATATAGCAAGAGACTACAAAGCAGTGGGAAGGTACTAAATTAAAGAGATGAGAACTTGTTTAAGGTATAAAACAGAAGAACAAATAGTCTACAACTATTATTACTTGCTTTAAAAGTAAAGATGAAGGTTAAAGTTCACTGAACTAAACATACAACCTTGCTGCTGTTTCTCATCTCAGTTCTCTGAAGCTCTTATTCAAGATTCCCATTACCATATAAAGTTATACCAGTATAAATGAAGATGTAAACTTAAAGTACCAGTATTTTAACTTATTTCATCAAGGAAACACTACTTACAGAAAGAAAAAACAGTTCAACTTCGGTCTTTCACAGAAGCCAAATTAGAGTCATCAAAACTCCATAAAATAAGAAAATGAAGCTATGAGAATTTAGTTTTGCTTTCACTTTTGTTTTTAAACCTGTAACTTCTTAATCAAGTTGTGAAACAATAGACAGCCTCAACTATAGGGAGGGAGGAAAGGGAAAGGAGAAACCAGCATTGATCAGGTAGGAAGATCAGTATCATTAAGGACACGATTATCAGAAAAAGTCAAGGTGAAACAGTCTATGATACTAATTTGAGTTAGCTATGGCTAGATATAAGCATGCTTTCACCTGCTGCTAGGTAGTTTACCACTCCTTGAAAGTGAGTTAGGCTACTTCAGGCTCATTACATAGTAAAAGCAGGCACAATGCTTGATACTGTGGAGAATTTAGCTGTCAGTAATCTACACCTTGGCTACTTGCATTAACATAATTTGCCTTGATTTCTGATGATAAAACCATTTAGCCTGAATAAGTAGGTATGAATGTTTGATTATTTAAAACAATTTATCTTGATAAATTATGATATATTAAAATAATGGAAGTATATCAACAGGTATAGTCTTTTAAAAATAAGACTAAGTACTTAAAACAGCAAATATGAAATTGTTTTTTTTCTTATTTACATAGATGAGTGACGGATAGCTGGTTCCCTTTCCTCTTTAATTTGAAAGTATCAGACAACCAGATCTTCCTTTTCAAATTCAACCACAAAGGTATAGAACTTTGATTAATCTCACTTGTTAAACCACACTTGCTCTTAACTGCTGTAACGAGAAGTCTCAGACTCTTTGCTTAAGATCAGCTTTACAGGCTATGCAGGTGATGCGGGGTCACTGGCTATCTTTTAAAAAAATTAATGTACAAAAAGGGACATTCAGGGATAAAGTCATAGTTTAGAAGGTCAGTGAATTCTCCGCATTTGTCTTTGTAGCTGGAAGTGTCAAGAAATTCTCATGCCCTATGCATTCTTTGTAACTAGATCAATTTGAAGGAAATATACAGGAAGTATTAAACCAAAATAGGTCAGTTAGGATGTTAACAGTAAGTCATCAGGACCAGATAGTGTTCACCCAAAGGTTCTGAAGGAACTAGTCCATGAAACTGCAGAACTGCTGGCCAATTCTTGTAACCTGTTGTTATAGCCGGAGCACTGGTAAACTCCAAAGAATTGTAGGAAAGATCCTTTGGCAGACTGAAAGCTGATTAAAGGATATCAAATAGAGCATAAGGCTTAATGGTCACTTTTCAGGATAGGGAACAGGCAACAGTAGTTGCTGAAATGAGTTTTATTCAGCATCTTCATCAGTGGTTTGGAAAAGGGAGCCAGAAGTGGAAACTCCCAAGTTTGCAGATGATATTGGACTCTTCTGGGCAGTCAAATGCTGGGCCAGTGATGAAGAACAACTCCAGAGGAACCCAATAAAACTGAAAATCTGCCCAATTTTTCCCCCTCTTCCTCCCCCCCGCTCCAAACTGCAATATCTGGCAACTCCCAGACAGTAGTGACTTACATGATCAGCTCTCCTAGGACTGTTGAAGTTGGAAGCAGAATTTATGGATTCTTACAAGTAGTATCACAAAGAAGATACCTTTCACTATTAAGAAAGTCCCTTCAAGCAAACCACTACTGAGTGTTAAAAAAACTCAACACACCCCTGAATTTATTCCAGAGGGAAAATATCAGGTGTAACAAGGAAGTTGCATCAGTTTCTACAAAACAGAAGGGAGCAGCCCTCATCTCAGCCAGGTGATTCCAATGTACTGACTGACAAGGACACACAGCACCCATCTACAGTCCCATACAGAGCATGGGAGGGGAGTCAGTTGTGCATGTCCTGTGGTAACACTGAAGGAAGAAATTCTCCAGTCTATGTACACACACTGCTCTTTTGAAGATATAAATGAACAAGGTCTCAAATCAGAAACCACCTTACACACTTTCATACCAGCCAGGGCTGACATCTTAGAAATCCAAACCCAAGGACATCCCAAACAAGCAGCTGCAATAAACATGCAGATCAAGCTATGCATATATTATGGACTTGCTGGTTGCCAGCACACCCATACAATAAATGCTCAGGCTGCAACCCTAAATGTGAAGGCTGAATTCAAGTGATTAACATCTTTGATCAAGCCTGCTGTATTCTGGATAATTATAAGAACAAACAGGATAAATTCAGAAGTTTCCATCTCAAATCAAGAGCGTTTTCCATCTACAGCAAGCAAAATCGGTAACCAAGTCATACAACAGGGAAGGTTTTTATACTTTGTTTCTGTCCCCCTGCCAAATGAACATGCTAGTTCCCTCAAAACAAGAAATACAAACATTCTGCTCTGTTAACCTACTGTTGTTAAAACCAGATGAGACTGGATATGTACCAGATCAAAAAGAATGATTCAAAGCCATTAAAATTCCAGCATGGTTCTTAGAAATCAAAGGCATAATGAAAGCCTAACATATTTTCCAAGGACATCATCTGAAAAGTCACAATTCCATCTCAGCTTTGCATTTTGACTTCAGGTTAAAATAACAAATGAAATTACTGGGGGTGGTGGTGGTGGTGGAATCTAGATACACACACATTTTATATAAGAGAGTTTCAATTTCCAATTACATTTTCCTATCTGCACAGAAAATTTAAAAACCAGGAAAAAACAACTTTTGTTTTAAGTGCAGAGATAGGAAGGGCAGACATTGTACTTGAAACAATTTATAACACCCTGTTAAAGTCCTGGCAAGAGCCACTGATGAGCTAAACACCTAAGATCAAAAATGGCACTCAGATTTTCCTAGCACTGTTACTACTAGATGCATGTATCCAGTTACACAATACAACTGTGTGCCAAAGGTATGTGATCCGTATGAGTGCAGTTACAACTGTACTCAAATCTGCAAATAAGTCAGTATAATTAGTCTTTGATAGTAATGTGGAAATTTGGTAAAGATGTACTCAGTCTAGTATATAAATTGTCAGTTTATACTACCATTTAACATAAACTTTAAGATTACAAGGTTCAATTCTTTTAGAAAAAAAATTTATGCTGAGCCTCCAGCATAACCATTTTTTCCTGTACTCTCCCCTACATCTACTTCAAAGATGTTTATGTGCTCTTGAAACAAATCTGACTTAATTTTTGCTTGGCTGAGAAGTCAATCATTTATGTACAGCATGCACGCCTTTATGCTTGTCTTGAACTACCTTAAATACTTTACATTCCATTTATCTTCTCACTATTCAGTTAAGATTTTTGTAAAGCTTTCTTACCTTTCTTGCTTTTAGTATTCTGCAGGGCCATTTCCTGTCTCAAGGCACAAATTGAAGCCTCACGCACTAGAGCGGAAAGGTCTGCCCCTCTACAGATACAAACAGGATAGGTTATTTTAGGATAAGTGTCTCTCGTCTTTTGCTGATGGCATATAGAAAGGCAAGACACTACAAATGATGGTAAGAGACTGGTTGTGCTGTCATAAAGGTTCATCTTAAGAACACTGGAAAGAGGTCTGAGGACTACCCAGTGCTGCGACCTTTGTTATGGAATGACGTCCTCCAGATTTTAACCACAGATTAAAATCAAATAAATGAGGAGAAAGGGAAGAGGCAAAAACCCCACCCAGCATCCTTGAAAATGCCAAAGGATTGATTAATATTGTGTCACTGGGTGGGAACATGATACATTTTTTTTTGTATCAGTCTTATGAAAGATTCAAATGGAATCACCCATTATTGCCTTGCTCAAGACTGGATCAACAGTTAAATTAACATGCTCTTAAAATAACAGTATCCACAAAACATGGTCAGCTCAGTCTTTCTAAATATTTGTTTCCAGCTGTTGAACTTTTCACAAGCTTTCAAACTGCTGCAAGTCAGCGAACCAAAGAAAATTTTCACAATTAACTCCCTATGCTTCATTTGGGGATGCTAGGAATACTGCTGTATTTAAAAAACAAAACCAAAAAACAACCCCCCCCACCCCAACAAACAAAACCCAAAACCCAAACATAAAAAAACCCCACAACCAAAAAACCACAAAACCCAAAAACCAAACCACCCCCTGCCCCCCCCCCCAAAAAAAAAAAAGGAGCAAAGAAACCCAAAAAGGAAGAGAGAAAGAAAAAGTACTCATCTTTCCCAAGTATGAAACAATGACAAACTAAAAAGCATTACTGGTGATAGCCTCCATTTCTAAGATTCAAAAGCAATATTGTGACAAGCAGCATGTCAAACTTTATCTTTTGTGAACTTCAGAAAATCACTAACTATTAATAAATCATTTAGTAGATTAAAGCTTTTTGAAGTTTTGTAGAACGCAATTGCAAATTACTCTGACAGATACAGCTATCAAGCTTTCCTAAAACACACCTCGGTATTCCCACAGCAGAAGTTGAAATAGGCCCTCGTTACTTTGTCAAACACATTGCTTTCAACTGTGTGACAGAACAAGTTGGTAATGGTTGTTTAACCAATTTGCTTTCATCATCATTATATACAGGTCCACAACTTGAGAGGGCTCTTTTATCCTCAGATTACGCAAGAATTATAAAACCAAGCAAAGCCAAGAGGCCTCTACTGATCTGTATTTACAGCATGAAGAGGACTATTCCAGACGAAAGAGACTTTGGCATCCATATATTCCTACCAACTCCTTGGAAAAAAGCACAAGTGAAAGCAAGCAAAATAGCGTAAGGGAAAAGGCTTATAAACCCTGAAAGTTAAGGGATCATCTTAACAACAACGTAACACGCATTATCACACATCAGAGGACTGTTGGCACTGCACATTAAATATTAAAGTCAAAACTAGAAGCTACTCACGTATAACAATCACAATGTTGATTGTAAGCAATTTCTTCAAGGCTTACATCAGTATCTAGTGGAGGCCAGGTGCCATCCTAAAGGAGTTGAGATAATAAAAAGAAGATAAGAAAACATTTTTCACACATGCCATCCCTGAAGTCATTAAGTTTCATCAACCAGGAATCATATAGGGGTCTGACAAATTCCCTGAAATACTCTTCCATATTATTACTGCTTCTTCCACAAAGATCCCAGAAGTGGTTTCTTTTGTTATTATTTTTGCATCTCCAACAGCAAAAAATATTGAACAACATTAAAAGTTATATTTGAAACTAGCCAACAAAATTTTCAAACACTCTAAGCATGGAGATCTCCCTGTTACCCTTAGACAACATTAAAGTAGTATCATGGTAGTAGTACAGAGATTCTAGGTGTCTATAGTATCAAACACCACCTGAGTGTGGACATGGAAGGACGCTTTTTGATAGACGCTTTTTGATACATCTGATGTATTTCTGCCAGAAACTCATTTGACAGAAATGCACAAATTCATATAGTTTTTTGACTTTTCTGACTTCTTCAGGTGAACTAATATAGCACATAACTACAATACCTTCAAGAGAAAAAAAAATAAAATGTATAGTAACTGGCAAGTTAAAACCCTTAATACTTAACAGACAGTAGAATAATCAAGGACCAGGCAGAGTAAGGGAGCAATCTTCAATGAATCTTTGGTAGAATACCAGTTAGATAGGGAAGGAAAAAAAAAAACACCACAAACCAAAAGACAAAGGAACAGCCTGATTTTGAAACATCTTGAAAGGAGAGACTTTAACCTGGAAACAAGGAAGCCTCATACAATTTCATATGGATACTTTAGTAATTGTTGTACAAGACTGCAAGCCAGAGAGACACCTTCTCTGCTAACAAGAAGTGTTTTACCTATCGCTTTCAGAAGCAACATATGTTGGGCATTTTTTTGAGTGGGATGATCTGCCTACTCTGGAGACAAGCTCAGCAGTATGCGCACCACAGAAGCTGATACAGCTTGCAGGAATGTAAGTACACTAGTAACTTCAACATGTGAAGACATGCTTCTCTTGCATAATTAATATGCAATTTGAAAATGACTGATTTGTACAAGTTAACTGAAATAAAAGTCTTTCACAACAAAGCTTCAACCTATATCTGGGCTGTCTGTCTTCCTTACAACCTGTTCCTCTCCCCAACTCCCTTTTCTATTCCTCATGCTGCCTTTGTAAGCATCCATGTTTTCCCTCAGCAATGATTCTCCGTTTCCACATCCCGCGCATGTATTCCTTGGGGATTTCTGGGAGTGCATACCATCACCCAGAAGCCACTCACATCTGCACCAAACATTTTGTTTTATCTAGCTCTGAGCATGTATTTAAGCAAGTGTTCCTGTACACAGATTTTTTAAATTTCCTTACCTAGAATGCATAGATGAAGTCCGACAAAAAATAAGGTATTTCAATTAATTTAACTTATCTTCCTCTCTCCATATTGCATTTTGTTCTTGCAGATAACTCCTACGCATTTTTAAAGAAAATAACAATCTATTTCTTGTTCTTAACACTAGAAATACAAATCTTTGCCTAGCTTTACTACTTCTGCAGTCACCAGAGTTCTCATGAAGTGAGAACAGCACCATCCTCCTCAGGGAATGAACATGGAAACACACAAGGAAAAGACTCATTCCGAGAGTGTTTGTATCTCATTTCCGCTGGCCTCTTAATTAAGAATTGAGAAAAATAAACCATTAAATACTTAACACCTCATTCACTACAAAGATTTGTAACCAAAATATTAAGACTAGTATGAATTAAGTATGCATGGAAGTATCTGGCATTCCAAAAACAACATGCCCTGATAACCAAGGACAGGATCCACCGGAACCCAGCTGGTAAATACTATGCAATGCGTTGCTTATATCACAAGAAGGCCCATAATCAGATAAGGCCACAGCAAAGATGGTTTGTCAGCAGAAGACAAATATGCTCTGATAACAGGATAATGACAAGGTTACCACATCACATGTGTCACTCCTCTTAGTGTTATCCCAACAGGAGGACAGACTGTAGCTACAAAGATTCCCAGAAGGAGGGAGCAAAGACGTTTTTCAGCAACCTCACCCAAGACTTATGGCAGCTGAAGTAAGCACGATTCTGAACTGTTTGATTCTTAAAGGGAATCTAGAAAACATTCTCTCTAACAAGCAGTTTGTCATCACCAGTAAAGAGGAAGCCAAAAGATGAAGACTCGGAGTTCCTTATCCTTGGTGTTGCACACAAGTGATCCTGGCCCTACCACTTGGATGCGTGCATCTTGGAGACTATATATGGCTGTGAGAGTGTGAGCAAGTGAAATCTATGAGACAGTAAGAGAAATCAGTTTTGTTTAATACTACCTTCCACCCCCATGAAGTCTTGCACCAAGCTTTGCTGCACTATTTTCCTACACCGCTAATTACAGTGAGAGCACTTGAGACAGTTACAAATCTCCAAAGATACTCCAGCAAGAATCAGGGTGAGCAAGGCTCAACACCCATGTGTTAAAAAACAGAGCAGATGTAAACTCTGTACCAGAATCCTTCTGCTTTGTTTAGACAGCCTAGTGACTGACCCTTACTACCCACTTCTTCCGGAAGAAGGTTGTTTGTATTAAGTCAGAACAATCATATAAGCCCAATTTTTAAAGAACACTGAGTTATCTTTAAAAATAAATTGGTAAAATAAAAAATGTAATTCCTTACAGCATGTTTGAAAAATGATTCATGGATGTTACACTCAGATCCTCTCTAGGTCTTTTAAAAAGCAACCATCTTCAAGAATAGGATTGTAAATAGTTTTAACTGACATATTTTTATAAAAACTTAGAAACAATAAACTGATCTACTGCTAATAGCAAATGGGGGCATACTTACATTTTTTTCCTCCATGAAGTAATGCATAGAACAAATGAAGGAAAGTCTAACATCCTGAATTTCTAATGAGCGCCTGACTTTTGAACAACTATTTTGCATGAAAGGACATGCTTGAATGAGTCCTCACTTTCTGAATTCTCCTATAGGATTAACTATTGCCTACACCACAACTTCATGCTTACACAAGTCTGAATTATCTTTTTTACAAATTTGCTAAATAATTTTTGCCACACTTTTCATAATACAGTGCTATCTTTTCTCTATAGTGAAGACTTGGTCTCCTTTGCAGCTCAAAAAAAGTCTGATAGGACACCTGCTCTTAACAAATCAATGCTGATCTACTGGAAAAAGTAGGAAATATCTGAGTAATTCATAATGCTTTGTATGTTCCTTCTTTAAGACCTTGATTACTGTTGTACTGTACTTAGAGAAATACTCAAATAGAATTCTATAATCCAAATCTCTGAAGTGGCAGAATGTGCCACTAACTACAGGGAGGACCCATGAAGGCAGGTATTTTACATTTTCACATTTACTTTGACCTACAACCTCTACCATCACAAGCTTCCTTTAATCCTAAGGGCAATTAAGTGTCACAATTACTGTTGAGCAAATACAGCTGAAGCTAGTGAATCATTTTGGTGAATGTGTGGAACCCCCCCAAAAAAGCTTACAAAACACTTCTAGGCCCATTACTCACACAGATAGGAATCTTTTAATTAAATCTGTTCAAACTGTGACTATAAAGGCAGCAGTTTCTACGTTTAACAGGTTTGCCTTACAAGATTTATCAACCCCTTGCAGTCTCGGAGCAGGTTTAACAGCAGATGTGGCTGATGGTTTATTTTTATGACCTCATGTGTTTCATGAGACAGGAAACTGCAATTCTCTGTAAAATTTGTATTAAATCATTCCACCAAGCTTCAAGATAAGGATTTATTTCCAAATACTCACTTTGGTGATGGTCTTTAAAATAGCAAGTCGATCTGCAGGTGGTGGCAAACCCACATAAAGTGTTTTATCCAGTCTACCAGGACGCAGGATAGCTGGATCAATTATATCTTAGGGAGGGGAAAAGAAGGAAAAAAAAAAAGACAAAGTTATCCAGAAATGAGATACACCCTTAGGAAAGTGTACACGTGAGAAGGAATATATGCATACTTGTACCTAGATTCAAAGAATCATTTGTGCCGTGATGTAAAGCTCTGACCATTAAAATAGCTGACTGAAATAGTTTCATCTCTGTCAAGTAGGAGCCTCTATTACCTCGTACAGTTAAGCCACATCTGCTCAAAGATGGCTCAGAAATACCAGTTTCATCTCTTCACAAATGAAGACAACTCTGTCTTTGGCAATACAGTACTAGAACATTTTTACTGTCATACCTAGCATGGTCAAGTCAGGAATTCCACATTAATTCATAACAAGGGAAAAAAATGCTTCCCGTTTGTTCTATTGGAAGGAACTCTACCTGTATTATCTGTTGCAAATCTGCTTGAAAGGCACAGTGATAAATTAAGAATAACAAGTACGCGGGGCCAATCATAAGCACCCATATGTAAATTTAATTTTACTGGTCATTTGCATTTCTACTGCATATTAATTTTCTGAATGGTAAAATAGGAAACCCATGAAAACACAAAATAGAGCTGCAAAGTACAGATTTTGTATCCCAGGAAGAACTACAGACTCCAAATTTTATTATATGTGGAGAAGTAAGAAACAAAAAATCATCACAAATGTTTCTAGAAAACCATTCAAAGCTTAAATGTAATAGAAATGTCTAGCAGCCTTTTAGCACCACAGGCTTCGATACTGAACTTCCACAAACAGTAAGTCAGGATATAAGTACTAAGGACCATTGGTATTACAACAGATACAAACGGGGCATATAATCTGGGAAAGACCTCGATTCTTGTCCATATTTCAGCACGAACTGCCTGGATGATGTTTCTAAATGCTTCCTGATGCCCCATTTCCCCCCATCTACTGAAAACGATGATAGTATTACTTGCTCTGTTTCACTAAGGAATTCTAATAATCCATATCCTACATACTACAGTAATATGAACAGCAAAGTCACAAAAGCACCCACAGAAGATATAAAGAAAACGATACTTTTAGTATAACAGACTTTGAAAAAGTCTGAGATGTGTTCTAGAGATGTGTTAGGTAGCTATTGCAAGCACCTTATCCAAAAGTAACAGTTGAAAGTTACACCTAAGTCTTAAGCTGGAAATTATCAAGGACTCCAAATGAAGCTGTCAACATCCTTACAATCATTACATCCTCTTGACAAAATGTAGCTAACAGACAAACTACATGCATTCATGTATAGCAAAGGTAAAAGAACTGGGAAAAGTTAAGCTGTTAATCCTTACTGACAGATGTTCAGAAGAAAAAAAGAAAAAGCAGAAAAAAAAAAACCCACCCAAACCCCAAAACAGGAGCATAGAACCACAGCTACCCCTTCACCCAAACCCCAGAACAGGAGCATAGAACCACAGCTACCCCTTTTTTGCAACAAAAAAAGTTTGCTTAACTCTGAAGACTCCAGCTACCTGATCCTACCACAATGTATTCTTGATTCACTTTTTAAAGATGTGCATAGTTTTGTTCAAGTTACTCTCTCACCTATGCTTAAAGGACAAAAAGTAGAATGAGATGCATGCATTAAAAATTGTTCTGCTATCTCTTTCTTGGATAAAAGCAATTTTTTTTCCCCAAGATACAGCAGTCATGGCCACAGGCATCTACGCAGGCAAAAATCAGCTACTGTGAATGTGACAAGAATAGTGAGAAAAAAAGGAAGAAATTGATGTATTAATTTAATCCAGACCAGATGAAACAAGGGTTAAACAGGATCCCTGCCATGGCAGGCCCAGAGAAAAACCATCTTTCTTATACGTCTGTGCATAGTGCTACGTTAAACCTTATCTTGCTTTTGGCACAAGTGCACTTTCCTGTTTTTGTGTCTCTGTGGACGGAAGTCTTGCCACACAATTAAGATGAGATGACAAAGTTCACTCAACCGATCAATTACAAACATCAAAACAAATACTCTCAATAGGGATTGCATTACAACACCATGCACTTGGTAACTTCCCCGTTCTAAAGTTTCAAAAGCTCTTTAAAAATATTAAGATTGATACGGAAAATACTGTTTCCATTTTGCATGCTGAGAACATGGCACTTGCCACGCTATTTGTCCAACAATACAAAGTTAGTGATCCGGTCTAAAGATGCGTTCATCCATTTGTATGTAAATGACTACACTGCCCACATTCAAAGGGTTACCACAACTCATACTAACTCAAATAAGCTGCAGTAATGGTGGTTTACAAGACGACCATACCAAAGTTTAAAACAGATCTACACTCCCCATCTCCTTATGAGTCAATTCACTTCACTCCGCTGGTTCAGGCCTGGGCCTGGAGTTCTTGAAAATTCAAGTCACATAACACAGAAGTTAGTATTTACTCATGGGTCAAACTCACTCATTAGATGCACTTCATATCTCTTTAAAGAACTGAATAATGCTCCCCTTTTAGGAATTTCAAAGCATTCCATCCTGATAAATCATAATGTTCTCTCCACATCTATTACCTTGAAACTTATCTAAACAGAAGAGAGCCAACTAATTTTAGACACATTTAACATTTTAATGAAATTAAGGTAGTTATCATAGATACCTCTTTCAAAGCCTATTATTATCTCTCAAGTTTGAAAGTGAAACACAGAAACGTGATAACACACAACACTTCTTTTCCAAGGAGTTGTCTCACAGACAGAATATACTTCTATTAAGAGAAATATCTAGTTAATCATTTTCTGTCCTGGTTTTCTGATGTAGTCAATGGTGTTGATTATGTCCTTAGAAGACAGTAGTACCATTTTCCAAATAATGTGGCAAAATTGCGTAAGATGACATTTAGAGTACACCCATTCCTTGCTTTGTTTTTAAAGGTTAAAACAGGCACTTGCCTCTAGAGAATTATGTAATAATTCAGTTTGCTACACTGCTCTCCAAACTACCACAAAATTTTATCCTCTTCGTTAAATTCTACTGAAAAATTCTTTGCATGCATCCCTATAATGTGACATTCTATTGTCCTATAATAAAAATCTATTAGTCTCACACTCATTTCCAGCTGATTATTCACATCTTATCTCAACTGTACAAGAGTCAACAACGTTTATGAAAGTTCAGTGCATACCAGCAACAACGACTATTGTGCTGAGTCCATCAAACTTCTATACTCACTACAGCTTTTACAATTGTATTTGAAGTTATACAAGATCTAGGTCCTCATATTCATGACGTTCTGGAACATAGGCTCAGAAGCCCTAAAGGGTTTTCTGAAACTCCACATGAACACTGCAGTTAACAACTCTGCTCCTATACAACAAACGCACTCCACTAAAGTTACTGCGAAAGACACATAACATTCAAGGGCTGGTGAAACACAGAAATATAATTTGTGTGAATTAGAACTATGACGAAAGAAGTTGTTCCTTGCCTCACGTATTAGGTGCTTTTCTTAGATCTTATCTTGCCTTTAATTCAGCAACATGTAAACATAACACACAAAAACCCCAAACCAAAACTGTTACTATTGTCAGACCAAAGATTATTTTTTTACTGTGTTTCAAAACACGTGGTTCAGGTGAATAGCTCTAGAAAACTAACATAAGCTTGCTAAAAAAACCCAGAACTCACTGAAACTAGGACTGTGCTCTAAGATAAACAGTAGAAGGGGAATTTTGCAAAAATTAATTTTAAAAAGCTAGAGAAAAAGACCATGAGTAAAAGCAAAGGCATCATCACAATTTAAGTCAAGCTTAAATCACTATCAGTTTGTAGTGTTTCACCGATTTCTTGTCTGTTTCCTTAGGTTACATACAGTTCCTTAGATCCCATAGTAAATGCTGCTGATGCCTTGGTCAGCATTTCTCTAAAGAGTTTATAAATGTTCAAAGCCTGGGGAAGTAAGAGAAGAGCAGAAAGCAGCAGTATCCAGTACTGAAACTCACACTGGTAACTGGAAAATTGTGGGAAATTACAGACCTTAGTTAACAGTAGCACTTGATGGTTTTGTAAGTATTTAGTCTCGGATTTGGGGAAGGAAGTAGACTGAAAAAGAATATAATTATTCTGACCCATAAAGTTTCTAATAGGACATGACTTTCTGCCTCTTTTTTCCCCCCCTCTCTCTCTTTTTAATGAGACTGAGTGCTTTAAAAGTTTAATCCTTTTCAGACAAAGTTTGACATTGGTTCTGCATTTAGGTGGAAAGAGATTGAGTTGGGAATACTGCATCCCTGCTAATTTAGCAGTAGTCAAGAAAGACCTACGGAGGACTTTCAAAGTCACCGAGTAAGTGCAAAAAACATCCAAATATCCTGCTTTTAAGGACAGATCAAAGGCTTATTTCAGCACTGCCAGAATAAGAATTACCACTTGCAGATTGTATATGATAAACAAAGGAACCAATCTATTGTGCCTGCCCTTTCGGCAAAACGGGAATTAGAGTGTTCCAAGTCCTTAAAGGCTATTATAAAAAAATAATTCAGCAGTCTTCAGCCATGGGGTATACAAAACACCACTATTTCACAATAATACTTTGTCACAGGTGCCAACACCTCACTGGAACAACTGTGCCAGGAACATGCCTTGATGCCAAAACTGGTTGAGCCACTGTTACCACTATTATTCTTTATAATAATATTTTTATGAGAGAAGACTCTTCTTTTGGCACAACGGTCTCTGAGACTGTCCTCGTTTCGGCAGGGACATGCTCTACCAACTGAGAAGGCTGGAGGTGCACAAGAAGCTGGGAGGGGACACAGCCCTGACCCAAACTGGCCAAAGGGATATCCCACACCATGTGACGTCATGCTCCATGCTC